TTGCTTGCTCTTTTCTCTTAGTTTTGCAGCATTGATGCCGATCATGAGGACGAGACCCTTGGCCGGCTGGTGAATGATGACCATCTGCACCCTAACTGCACTGTCAATAAGATCGTTGTTCAGAGAAAACCTCATTTGTGCCTTTTTGCAATCAGGAATATTTTCTTTGGAGAGGAAATAACGTTTGACTATGGCGCATGTGATTGGCCTTGGAAAAAGGTTTGACATTTTGATCACTTAATGCATTAATCCTTAATACATTCAGCAAAGCTAAGAGTTTTTTTTAATGTTAATATAGATTAAGGGTAAATCTGTTCAAAAATAAAGAGTTTGCATCATCCATAAGAGATAATGAAATCAATCTCTTAATATCTTCTTCTTGTCTTAATGGGTAAAAAAAGTTAAATTAATTGGGTAATGCTTTACTTTAAAGGGGGGTTCATAAGACTGTACTTTAAAGGGGGGTTCATAAGACTGTCATGAAAGCTTTATAGTCATGACATGACTTATATTACAAAGCTGTTTTTAAATAGCTTTCATTGAAGGATGCCCACATGACTGCAGAAGAGAACTGCTCCGACAACTCTCTGATGAGGTATGTTTATTAGTATTATTATTATTATTAGTAGTAGTAGTAGATGTTGTTGCTGTAGTAGTGCATTTAATTGTAATTATTTAACTTAGTGTGTGTCCTAATTTATGAACATATGCAATAGTGTAACATTGTGGCGACCAGAGGCATGTTAGAGAAGCTGTGAAACACACTTAGTCCTTAATACACACACAGTACGGTCTGACATAGTGGGGACCGGGAGCCCTGAGTACTACTGTCTAATTATTATTTTTTGTTTTTTATATTCAGCTTTCATTGAAGGATGACCATATGACAGAGGAAGAGAACTGCTCTGCTCCAGTAGGAGACCCACAACCCTCTGATGAGGTGTGTTTAAATTTAATAATAATAATTATTATTATTATTATTAGTAGTAGTAGTAGTAGTGCATTTAATTGTAATTATTTAACTTAATGAAAATCTAGAAATGTAACAGAGTGTGTGTGTCCTAATTGGTGAACGTATGCACTAGTGTAACATTGTGGGGACCAGAGGCATGTTAGAGAAGCTGTAAAACACACTTAGTCCTGAATACACACACAGTACGGTCTGACATAGTGGGGACCGGGACCCTTGAGTACTGCTGTCTAAATAATATATATTTTTTATTTTTTTTATTCAGCTTTGATTGAAGGATGACCATATGACAGAGAAAGAGAACTGCTCTGCTCCAGTAGGAGACCCACAACCCTCTGATGAGGTGTGTTTATTATTGTTGTTGTTATTATTATTAGTAGTAGTAGTAGTAGTAGTTGTTGTTGTAGTGATAGTGCATTTAATTGTAATTATTGAACTTAATCAAAATATAGAAATGAAACAGAGTGTGTGTCCTAATTTTTGAATGTATGCACTAGTGTAACATTGTGGGGACCAGAGGCATTTTAGAGAAGCTGTGAAACACACTTAGTCCTGAATACACACACAGTAAGGCCTGACATAGTGGGGACCGGAACCCTTGAGTACTGCTGTCTAACTAATATAAATTTTTTATATTCAGCTTTTATTGAAGGATGAACATATGACAGAGGAAGAGAACTTCTCTGCTCCAGTACGAGACATACAACTCTCTGATGAGGTGTGTTTATTAATATTGTTGTTGTTGTTGTTGTTGTTGTTATTATTATTATTACTAGTTGTTGTAGTAGTAGTAGTTGTTGTTGTAGTAGTGGTGCATTTAATTGTAATTGTTTAACTTAATCAAAATCTAGAAATGAAACAGAGTGTGTGTCCTAATTTATGAACGTATGCACTAGTGCAGTGGTTCTCAAACTTTTTTCACCAAGTACCACTTTAGAAAAAAATTGTCTCTCCAAGTACCACCTTACGATGCTATTTTTTAACCAGTATTAAAAAATAGCGTCATAGGCCTAATTAAGCAGCTACAGGTGTGCACAGTTTAAAAACGATGCAGATTAATTCCTATTATTAAGAATATGTATTATTATCAGTCACTTTAAACCTTTGAAATAGTCTGAACATTAACTGTGCTTGCAGATAAAAAAAAAAAAGTTTTTGTTAAAATGTGCTTTTAAAAGTTCATTAAAAATGGCATTGTTCTTAAAAAGTAAAAAGAAAACTGCTGTACTTAAATCTAAAGTATTCATTGTAGCCTATTCATCAAAAACTGGAGATGTTGCTTTTACCTTATAAATATAGGCTATATGTCACATTCCTACACTTTCAGACAAATCTTGAAATATATGTTAAATGTACATATGACAGGGTTCATACAGGCACAGCCTAATGAAAATCAATTCCAGCACCTATTTTTTTTTTCAAGACTGACATGTATTGAAGACCTGAAAAGTATTCTCAGCAACCCATAAAACATTGCATAGGAATAGATACAAATAAAAAACATAAAAAAATTATATTTATTAATCATATATTAATAATATAATAAACCTGCACTAAATGCTTGTGAAATCTTTTTTGTACTCAAGTAAAAATACTATTACACTGCTAAAATAACACAAATTTTAGTAAATAATATTAATATTAGGTAAAAGTACAAAGTACTCTTTTAAAAAGTACTAGTTGGTTACTTTTGGAAAAAAAAAAATCTGATTTTCATTATGAAATCACTTTTTTACGTGGAAACCTGATTGAATGGTTTAATTGCTTGAATCCCAAAGCTACATGTATAGGAATTTGCACTAGAAAAGAAAGTATGGTCGATTTTTCATTTCATGACTCTTATGCTTTAAGAGCCTTATTGTTAATTTTGATAAATAAACAATAAGTAACAACGGATTGCTTTGACCTGTAATGCTTTAAGACAGATCAGAATACAGCTAAATGTATAAATCACACAAATACCTCATCCAGAAACATTTCCAGCATAATTATTTTGTCGTAAAGAAAAAAAATTAAAAAATCCACCTTTGTTAAAAGTAAGTTTCACTTCACAACACAGCCAAATAAGAAGACCATTAGCATTGTCATCGATCATGTATCAATCTATTTCTAAATACTTAATAACTTTGAATACTTTTGACTAAATTTAGTCAAGGAACAAAGATAAATAATGTCTACTTTAATAGAGGAAAGATCGCGATTGTATTCAATCTGAGCACACAGGCGATCCTGAGAGGACTTGCAGTTCATTTGAAAAAAAAAAGCCTATTTAAGAGCTCGCATATCTGTTTTAGCGATTTGCGTACATTAATGTGCTCTCGTGTTAAAATAAAGCACTCGCCACATTTGTAGAAATGAGTTATTGCGCAATACCTCCATTCCCGCGCCGCCATTCAGAATGTATTTAGAGGAGTGACAGGTCAGAGGCGAGAGACTGGCTGTCGGAGAGCGAAACGTGTTTGTAGATCATCAAAAAGGCAGGAAATATGTCCGCGGTTTAATTACTCTGCTAGACATCTCTATAGTGAAAACATCCGAGAAGCATTAATCCAACAAAACATTTGTTTTTAAGTTGTTTTTTCTGTCTCTGCAACACAGAAAGCATTTGTCCCGCCCTTACGTTTCACGCAACTAGACAAGGTCGACTGTGATTGGCTACTTTTCATGTCAGTCAAATCACGCTTCAGAATCAATTCTTAAACTTCGGGAAATGATTTATAACAGCTTATGACACAATGCACTAAAATAAACATTCTAAGCACAGCGTTGTGATCGTACGCTTCACAAAACAGCCAATGCTGATCACATCGATGTTATATTACGCATTAAAGGATTAAAAGTGTTAATTGTTTCTTTCATTGTTCAGCGGTTCCTCCGCGTACCACTAGGACCACAGTTTGAGAACCACTGCGCTAGGGCATATCTTATTTTTTTTTTTTTAACTGTGTTTTTATTAAAGTTTTTATAAACATAGTATACAAATAGCATTTACAATGTTTAAAATCACAAAAAAAGGAAACAATTAGAAAGAAAATGATAATAGATATAAATTATTATAATAGATAAATAATAATGACAGCTTAAAAAATACAATAAAATAATAAATTAATTAAAATAATAATAATAATAATAATAATTAATAAAAATAAAAAGAAGGAGGGAGGGGTAAACAAATAAATAAATACACTCCAATATAAAGGTAATAACTATGACAAAGACAAAGCCCCTGACAGCCTTTTAAAGATCAAGTAAGTATGTTTCAATTAATGCCCAGGTCTGTTGAAAAAGGTCTGATTTCAGCTGCAAATCTGCAGTCATTTTCTCAAATATATATATATATATATATATATATATATATATATATATATATATATATATATATATATCTGTTTCAACCTCTGTGTCCATTCTGTTAAAGTAGGTTGGCGAGTCTTCATCCAGTACACTGTAATTATTTTCCTAGCTGTTATTAATAATATGTGTAGTGCAAATAGGTGAGACTTACTAAACTGATCAGGGGGGAAGCCATCTAGCAGAAAAAATACTGGATGCATTGGTATGTCATATCCTATTTTTTTCTAATCTCCCTGTTAACCTCCTGCCAATACACTTGTATTTTAGGACATAAATATGAGAACATAGTCCCCCACTTCTCCACAATCCCTCCAGCATTGTGATAATTGAATAGAACTATTGAATTTGGTGACCACTAATGGAACTCTGAAAAACCCCATCTTCATCTTCCAATTGAACTCCTTCCATGTTTGACTGCTTATACCCTTACGACAATTTGAGCATATTTGTTCCCACATTTCATCTATTATGGTGTTTAACTCTAATTCCCAATTTCTTTTAAAGTAATAAGATTCGTCAGATTTATCCTGCATCAATTTTCTATATAAATGGGCTACATGATTTTTAGTAAGCAGACTGTGTTTAATAATGTCTATAAAATATTTTTCTGTTTGTTTGAGATCTTTTAATTATACCCCATTGCTTATGATTTGTGATATAGTGTTGCAGTTGTAAATATCTAAAAAAAATCTTTAGATTTCAGTGTAAATCTATTAGATAATTGAGAAAAGGATAATAAGGTCTCCCCATCAAAAAGTTGATTAATTATCTTTAAACCATTCTTTTCCCATCTGTTGAAGACATTATCCATAGTAGAAGGAAGAAATTCTGGATTATCTTTAGTGAGTATTGCATGTGATAAAGATATTGTTCCTTTAAATGCTTTTTGTACTGTCGATCAAATTTGAACGGTGTGTTTAATCCATATATTCGTTTTTTTCACTCTCTTTTGTGCTGGCATATCCAAGAATGGCAGGACTTTCAGAGACACTCCAGGAAATGAATTCTGTTCAATACTAACCCAGTCTGCTTCTTTATCAACACCAAGCCAAGCTGTGATAGTCCTCAACTGAGCAGCCCATTAACAGTACTTAAAATTGTGAAGGTTCAGCCCCCCCTTATCTTTATTTGACATTAGTATTTTAAGTCTTACTCTTGGTCTTTTATTTTGCCAAATGAATTTTGAAATCAATTTTTCTAATTTATTAAATGCTGTGACTGGGACCCAAACAGGAAGGGATTGAAATAGAAAGAGGAGTCTTGGCAGTATGTTCATTTTCACTGTTTCTATTCTACCAAACATAAAGAGAGGTAGTTTTTTCAATCTAACTACGTTTTATAATTTCAAAAAGCCGTGTCTAATTTGCTGTGTATAAACGTGATGCTTCAATCATAAGGATGACCCCACGGTATCTAAAATTCTTATAGACCATCGAAAAGATATATCCTTGTCTAGTTGTGATGGCCAGTGTCCTGATAAGAATGAATGACCATTAACACAAACTCTTGATTTAAGATTCTTATAAAAAAACAAAACATTACCCATTTAACAAAAGTGTCATTAAATCCCATGTAATTTAGAGTCTGCTCCAAGAACACCCAGTCCACCCTATCAAATACTTTTTCAGCATCTAAGCTCAGAAGCATTGAGGGTGTTTTGCTCTTTTCCAATCTGCTGTAAATTGAATGTTTTTCTTATATAATTTATTGCATGTCTTTCATTGTTAAATCCGGTCTGATCTGGTTTAATTAAGTTTTTAATATGTTTTTGAATTCTAATTGCTAATATTGAAGTTAAAATTTTCATATCTTGACATAGTAAGCTCATTGGTCTGTATGCCATACATTGTGTAGAGTCCTTGCCACTTTTTTGAAGTACTGTAATGATCGTATTAGACCATGAATGGGGTGCATCTTCATTCTGCAATACATAATTATATACCTTGCATAGATTTGGTGCCAATTCATTTGTAAATGCCTTATAAAATCGTCTACCCCTGGTGAATTATTATTTTTTAAATGTATTATAATTTCTATTATTTCTTCTTCTGTAATAGGGGATATCATTTATTTTGCCTCTGCTTCTGTTAATTTATTTAAGCCAATTATTTGCAAAAAATCTTTAACTTTTTCTTTCTTATTTACAAGATTCTGACCCTCATATAATTCTTTGTAGTAATCTCCGAATGCATTTATTATGTTCTTTAGTTGAGTAAGCATTATTGATGTGTCTGGGTGTTTGATTTTTGGAACAGCTCTGTTTGCTTGAGACTTATGTAACTGAAAAGCTAAAAGCCTGCTTGCTTTATTACTCATCTCAGAGTATTTTCTGCTTACAAATCTAAGTGCCCCCTCTGCTTTATATTTAAGTCATCTAATTTCTTTTTTTAAGCATTCCAAAATTTGAATTTTACCTGTTTGTTTATGGTATCCTAGATGTTATTTCTATTATTTTACCTCTTATTACTGCTTTGGCCTCTTCCCACAAAATAGAAGGAGTAACCAACCCATTATCATTAATATCAAAATATTTAATTAACTGTTCTCTTACTTTGGCCTTACAACCATTTAGCACTGACACGTTTAATCTGCAGTATTTAAACTGTTTACCTTGTCCAATGTTAAGTTTTAACCTAACTGGCACATGATCAGATATAGTTATCTCGTTATCTATCTATTTGTCATTTTTTGACATTATGTAAATCTGTTCTAGAAGTACAAAAAAGGTCTATTCTAGAGTAACTGCCATGCACATGTGACATAAAAGTAAAGTCCTTCTCTTTGGGGTGTAGGTGTCTCCACACATCTACTAATCCTAATTCTCTAATTATTCCTAAAATAACTTTTACTTTTTTGCCTGTGGTCCTCTTTCTGCTGGTAGCCTAACTATTTTACTATCTAGTACACAATTAAAGTCTCCACTTATTAAATTTATTCCCTCACCTGTCTGTACTAATAGAGAGAAAACATTCTTGACAAACTGTGTATGGTCTTCATTGGGTGCATAAAGGTTCAGAATAGTAATTTTTTTGCCTGCAATTGTTCCAACTACCATGACATATCTTCCTTCTTTGTCATTTGCTCCAAATTAAAGAAGACTGACTTGGCAAACATGATTGCTACACCTCTCTTCTTCCCTTTAGAAAATGAGGCATTATAAACCAGGTCCACCCACTCACTTCTAAGTTTTAAATGCTCCACATCCGATAGGTGTGTCTCTTGAAGAAGTGCGCTAGAACATCGAATATTTTTAAGCTGATTAAATATTTTCTTTCTTTTAATTGAGCTGCTCAGACCTTTCATATTATAACTAACACAAACTACATCCTTCATTCAATTTGTTATAACACTTATATATGTTACGTATCCATTAAGTTCCAGTAAAAAGAAACAAAAACAAAAAAAAAGAAAAGAAAAAGGGAGAAAAAAAGAATAAAATAAATGGGTAAATTCTTTGGCAGTCAATGGGCAGTAATTCACTTGAACAAAAATGAGAACATAAACTTTATACATGAACATGGCTTCCACACATCCATTCGGCCCAGTTTTTCTCCCAAAGGCCAACTGACTCTCTGGGGTATCAAAAGTGTACTGAGTGCTTTCTGTTTAAAACATGACTGCCTCCAGGAGTCTGTAAAGTATCAGCAAAAACATCCGTCTGTTTTAAATAAAGTCAATTATCAAAAACATTTGACACGTGTATCTTCACAAAACAAAACACAAACCAAAAATAAATTTAAAAAATAAACATTTTCTTCCATGTTTCAACCAGAGTTTACTCACATTCTGGAGAGAAATATCCTTTTTAATATCTATATTGTCTACATATTTTAAACTCTTCAGTCCTTCTGCAGAAACGCTTTAAGATCCGCATCCGTCAGTGATGCTGTGTCCATCCCACGTCCACCTTTCCCTTGCACTGACCATTTGTTTTCAGTATTTCTCTCGCTTGTCTGTCTCGTTCATTCACTCGGACTTTAATTCCCAGCTCACGTAGTTGCAAAGCAGCAGCTACCAGTGTAGAGAACGTCTTTACTCCCGTCTCTAGTTAGATCCTTATCTGTTCTGGATAGACACACTGCGCCCGCACATTCTATGTCCTGAGCTGTTTCATGACGTCTCGCACCTGTGCTCTTTTCTTCTGTTACTCTGGCGAGTAGTCATTGTCAAAATAGATCCGTTTCACATTGTATATTACCTCTTTCTGAGACCAGGATTGTCGTAGGATTGCATCTTTAACAGCAAAGTCCAAGAATCTCACTATTATTGATCTTGGGGGTGCAGCAGGATCTCTGGGTTTTGCTGCAAGGGCTCTATGTGCTCTTTAAATCTTTATGTCCAATTCTTGAGGCAGTTGTAGAACAGTGGTAAGCAAACTTACCACAAATTCCACTGTAATTTCTCCTTCGCAGCCCTCGGGTACTTGGTATATTCTCAAATTATTTTGGCGAAGTCTATTATGTAAGTCTTTGCATCTTTCTGTGAGATCCGCCTCTTGTTCCAGCAGGTGTCGCAGCGCCCTTTCATGCCTCATCCAGATCTCCTCAGTAACCCCGATACGTTCCTTAGTCTCTTCAATTCTGCTCTTCAAACCGTTTATTTTGCATTTCAGGTCCTCAACTGAAGTCTTCAATTTTGTCAGTGATTTTTGTGTTTGTTTATGCCCGTCTTGATTTTCTCTTCTCAACAATTTCAGTTCGTCCATCACTTAAGAAAGTTAAGGTGCACGTAGGTTAACATTAGCTTTAGCTTGTACAGCAGGGCTAAGTGATCATTTTTTGTCTTTTTTTTCTCTTTCTATTTTCTTTTTTTGATGTACTCTTATATCTCGTTGACGTACTCATTCTGATTAGAACTAGTTACTTGATTCGAGATGTATTTAAAAAATAAAACAGAGCTTAACTTTTAAGCATGTGCCATCTCTATGGCACCACTGGAAGTTTCCAACTGTTGCTATTTTAACAAGGAAGAGGATGTAGTCATCAGGATTCAAACCTGCGTGGGGAAAAACCAATTGATTTCTAGTCCATCGCCTTAACCACTCAATCACACCTACAAGACTGCCTGTACTGCCATGTACATGCCTAGTACACGTGTTGTGCACTAAATGAAGGCTGGAGATTACAGATGGCAACACAGAGTGCAACGCCAATGTCACCTTAAAAAACCTGCTGTGACCCAGATTCGAACCGGGGTTGCTGCAGCCACAACACAGAGTACTAACCACTATACGATCATGGTGAGCTTCGGGACAGCCGTTGTGGCTCTAGTGTGGTATGTTCCTCCCTGTGATATGCCCCTTTCTGTTCAGTGAGAACACGCTGTTGTTTTTCTCCTCCTACCAGCACAACGCTTTTCCCGAGAAACAATGGAAATGCAAGCAATTGATGACTGCTGCAATTTTAAAAAGGGAGAGAACATAGTCAACAGGATTCGAACCTGCGTGGGGAGACCCCAATGGATTTCTATTCCATCGCCTTAACCACTCGGCCACAACTACAAGACTGCTGGAACCTCCATGTCTTCATGCCTAGTACACGTATTGTGCATCCAGATGAAACATCATCAAGCGATAGCTCAACGGCAAAAGCTGTGGCTCCACAAAATGAGCCCTACATGCTCAAACAGGGACTTGAACCCTGGACCCTCAGATTAAAAGTCTAATGCTCTACCAACTGAGCTATTCGGGCTCTACAATAGAAATAAACATGTAGGCAAGGTTTAGGGTTGTGGTCGGCGCAGACCTTTACAGTACACTAAAGTTTACCGTGAGATGGGGTTTTAAGCTTATGGTTGGTGTGGATGTTGCTAAAACACGACAGGTTACTTTAAGGTTGGGTTTATGGTTGTTGTAGATGTAGACATCAGTACAACACAATAGTTTGGACTTCATGTCATGTAGGAGACATTAAATAGATCAATGATAACTGCAGAATGTCTTTCTGCTGTTGTGGCAATGAATGGACACTCAACAATTGAAAAGATTCCTTCCATGCCTTAGCAGCGTGACTTGATCAGTACTTATCTACACAGCATGCTGGCATCAAAGATCCTGTTTCAGGGGTCCGTTCTTCGTACCTTGCTTAAATGATCTAAGATGATTTGGCAGATCCTGGATCTTTTAATCTTGATAACTGAACTCTCGCTAATTTGGTTCTTCAAACAAGTTCGCGAATCAGATTAGAATGTCTGGATAAACTGATCTGAGATCGCTGCTTGGGTTGTGAAGGACAGATCTATCGATCTTTAAAATCATGATCAGCAGTGCAGCGATTGGCTGATGGCACAGCAGCGTAATAACATCATCTGATTAATATTCAATTATCCATGTGAGCAAAATTACATCAAATTAGCAGGAAACAGTTTGCTAAATATGACACGCAATAACTTTACACATTTGTTGTGAGCTGCAGGCTTTACACTTTCATGTGTCAAGAGTATTCATCATGTATTTAGTTCTACATTTAGAAAATATTTTCTTTATTATAAAAGCCGGTTTTTGAATCGCTGTTTGGAATAACTGGATGTTTACAAAATCACTTTTGATAAAGGTGTCTGCAACTTTTGTGAAGCATAATCACTGGCATATTAACTGTCAAAACATGTTTATGACTGCATTAATGTATTATTTCTTTTTTTTAAAAGTCACATATTCTGCATTATTATTATCATACACAAATTGTACTAAAGCGATCTAAAAAGTACATATCAATAAGTTTTCTCTTTGCACCACCAGGTGACAGTCTTTGTACTTTAATTTCGGGGGTGCAGATTGCATAAGTTTTATTAATATATAACTTTATTTATTTTATTAATAACTTTATATATATTGTTAAAAATATTTACTATTTTCCTAATTGTATATAACTACTACTGTGAGAAAATATCAGAATTCGGTACATGGTTTCTCTGTTATCTTTGCTTGAACTGAGCCGATCTAATCTTGTTCATATGAATTAAACCTGCTTCCGATTAGGTTTGAGCTAGCAGAACTGTTGATATGACAACAACTTTCAGATCAGCTTTGAAGAACAAAACGATCCTGGATCGTGTCAAATCGTCAATATCCAAATCCAGGTAACTGAGTAATCCACATACGAAGAACAGACCCCAGGGTTCCGTTCTTCGTACCTCGCTTAAATGATCTAATATTAGTTGGCAGATCCCGGATCTTTTAATCTTGATAACTGATCTCTCGCTAATTTGGTTCTTCAAACAAGTTCGCGAATCAGATTAGAATGTCTGGATAAACTGATCTGAGATCGCTGCGTGTGTTGTGAAGGACAGATCTATCGATCCTCGAAATCATGATCAGCAATGCAACGATTGGCTGACGGCACAGCAGCGTAATGACATCATCTGATTAAAATTCAATTATCCATGTGAGCAAAATTACATCAAATTTGCAGTAAACGGCTTGTTAAATATGACATGCAATAACCTTCCACATTTGTTGTGAGCTGCACGCTTTCCACTTTCATGTGTCAAGACAAGAGTATTCATCATGTATTTGAATGCAAATCAATGTATTCAGTTCCACATTTAGAAAATATTTTCTTTATTATAGTAGCCGTTTTTTAATCGGTGTAAAGAATAACTGGTTGTTTACAAAAGCATTTTCATATTGGTAAAGGCATCTGCAACTTTTGTGAAGCATCAAATCACTGGCATATTAACTATCAAAACATGTTTATGACTGCTGAAATGTATTATTGCTTTAAAAAAAGTCACATATTGTGCATTTCTATTATACACAATTAATTCTAAAGCGATCTAAAAAGTTTATATCAATAAGTTTTCTCTTTGCACCACCAGGTGGCAGTCTTTGTACTTTCATTTCGAGGGTGCAGATTGCATACGTTTTATTAATATGTATAACTTTATTTTATTAATGACTATAACTTTATATATAGTTAAAAAATATGTACCATTTTCCCAAGTGTATATAACTACTACTGTAAGAAAATATCAGAATTCGGAACATACTTTCTGTATATCTTTGCTTGAACTAAGCCGATCTAATCCTATTTATATGAATTGAACCTGCTCCCAATCAGGTTTGACCAAGCAGAACTGTTGCTATGACAACAACTCTCGGATCAGCTTTGAAGAACGAAACGATCCTGGATCATGTCAAATCGTCAATATCCAAATCCAGCTAACTGAGTAATCCACGTACGAAGTACGAACCCCAACGGCAAGCTACTAGACAGCCGTTGTGAGCCTTGTGTGGTATGTTCCTCCCTGTGATAAGCCCCTTTCTCTTCAGTGAGAACACTCT